GTACAAATTGGAACACTCCTTGTGCCTCGGGCTCGAGTTTGCGTATACATCAGAGAGGACATCTGTCCTCGACGCTTCGGCAGTCTTGAAGGACCTGTCCATCCTTTGGCTACACGTAGACAGCAACGACCATCCGCATGTTTACGCCGCATGTTGTGCCTCTATAGATCCCATAGCGGTAATGCTAAAACAGACCAATTCATCGATCACGTCCAAATGGCTACAGATTCCTTGCTACAGCAGATCCCATCCGCAGAGATTGTGATATTCAGCGATTGTAACGCCCACCACGCCAAATGGCTCGGTTCATGTTTAACCGATCATGCGGGGAGATCTGTTCATGATTTTGCCTGTGGAAGATCATATACCTTCCCTGTTGGACCTTCTGCTGACCTGTCATTCAGATAGATATCAGGTCTCCGTCCACTCCCCTCTTGGCTCCTCAGATCATTGTCGAGTCCGGAGTGTGGTGCCACTCACACTAACATCGCGATTGCATTCTGCAGGCTGGCTAAAAAGGCCGACCGCTCAGACCCGTTTAGCTAGCTATGGCTATCACCATCACCTTGTTCTCCAAAATAATGGAAGCCATTATAAACTGCCATCTCATGCGGTATCATGAGGATCACCAGCTGATTAGTGACCGCCAATACGGTTTTCGTCGAGGTCGATCAGCTGATGAACTTCTGGTCTACCTGATTCATAGATGGGCAGAGTCATAAGAGTCCAAGGGAGGCATTGGCCGTTAGTTTGGACATTTTTTTTTATAGAAGATGGGGCAAACGAGCATGCGGCTCACCTGATGGTAAGTGACTACCGCCGCCCATGAACAACCGCAACACCAGGGGAGTTGCAGATGCGTTGCCGGCCTTTTAGAAAGGTGTAAGCTCTTTTCTTGAAGGTTCCTAAGTCGTATCGGTCCGGAAAATTCGCTGGTAGTAATTGATTCCACAAGGAAGTTGTGCGAGGGAGAAAACTTCTTCTAAATCGCACAGTGGTGGACCGCCAATCATCCAGATGGTATGGATGGTAACGCGAGTTTTGTCGCGATGTGCGATGGTGAAATTGAGCGGCTGCCTCAGAGCACTCCCCGAGATAGATGCGATAAAATACGCAAAGAGATGCAATATCTCTACGCAGTGCCAGTGTATCGAGCCTATCAGAAAGAACTCGGTCGTCGACGATTCGAAACGCTCTGCGCTGCATGCGGTCAAGTGGAAGGAGCTGGCACTGGGGTGCCCCGGCCCAGAGATGAGAACAGTATTCCATGTGGGGCCGAACTTGCGCTTTGTAAAGTTGCAAGCGATGTGCCGGCATGAAATACTGTCTCGCTCTGCTGAGCACGCCAAGCTTTTTAGAGGCCAATTTGGCCTTCCCTTCCAAGTGATCACGAAACTGCACACTATTCGATAAGTCGACGCCAAGGATTCCGATACTAGTTGAGGCAGCAAGGGGAGTGCCTTGAAACTGAGGAGATACGACAAAGGGTTTTTTTTAGCGGTAAACGCGCAAACTTGTGTCTTCTGGGGATTGAACTGGACTAGATTTAGTCGGCCCCAATCCGAGACTTTGTTAAGCAAAGACTCGACTTCAGACACAAGTTTGTCCCGGTACTCAGCGACGTTTTCCCGAGAAATATTGGCACGGCCGGTATATAAGGCATCACCAGTGTTGTCGTCCGCATAGCAATGAATGCTACCAGTTAGCAACATATCATTGATATGCAGGAGAAACAGCGTTGGTGATAGTACGCAGCCTTGTGGAACACCAGCGTTGATAGGCTTGAAATCAGAGCATGCACCGTCTACTACGACCTTGATGCTCCGATCAGCAAGGAAACTGGTGATCCATTTGCACAATTTCTCGGGTAGCCTATAGGAAGTAAGCTTCGAAAGAAGCGCTTTGTGCCAGACCCGATCGAAGGCCTTCGCTATGTCCAAACTAACGGCCAATGCCTCCCCCTTGGACTCTAATGCCTCCGCCCATCTATGAGTCAGATAGACTAGAAGATCACTAGCTGATCGACCTCGACGAAAACCGTACTGGCGGTCACTAATCAGCTGGTGATCCTCAAGGTAACTCATCAGCTCATGAGATACCTTGAGGATCACCAGCAGTTTATAATGGATTCCATTATTTTGGAGAACAAGGAGATGATGGCAATAGGCCTGTAGTTGGACGGGTCTGAGCGGTCGCCTTTTTTAGGGATCGGATGGACCAAAGCTGTCTTCCATGAATTCGGGACTACGCCTTGGGAGTAGGAGTACCGGAAAAGACGCGTTAAAACCGGTGCCAACTCCGGAGCACACGTCTTCAGCACAATGGGAGGGACTCCATCGGGCCCACTCGACTTGCTGACGTCCAGGGAGAAGAGTGCTTTGCGAACCGAGCGCTGTGTAAACCGCACATCCGGCATGGAGCACTCACATCGCGGGATGGTCGGCGGTGTGTTCCCCCCGTCATCTAGAGTCGAGTTGGACGCAAAAAGAGAGCTCAACAGATTGGCTTTCTCCTTTGCGGCATGGGCCAGTGAGTCATCCTCTCTGTGCAGAGATGGAAGAGATGGCTGACAGAAGTTCCCTTGGACAGCCTTGGCGAGAGACCAGAATGCACGGGTTCCCGAAGGAAGGCGAACTAGCGACATTGCGAAGGCCTTTCGATCGGGTTTGGCACAAAGCTCTTCTTTCGAAGAATCCCTTTCTATGGGCTTCCTGAGAAATTATGCAACTGAATCGCCAGCTTTCTTGCAGATCGGAGCATCTCCTCAGTTTCAAGACACTCCCCTTGTTGCCTCAGCCAGTATCAGAATCCTCGGAATATCGAGTGACGTGCAAGTTTCGTGATCACTTGGAAGAGAAAGTCAAATTGGCCTCGAGAGGTTTTCGAGAAATATTTTACTGATATTCCGATATTAACCACTAAGTCACTGAATTCTTCTCCTGCGGTCGCCGAATCATTACTTAAACAAAATGTAAATGGGTGTACAAAGAATTTTGCATTTCATAAAGTATCATCAAAAGATATTGTAAAATATTTTAAAACTATTGATGTTAAGAAAACTGCGGATCTGTGGTTAAAGTTATTGCGTCTATAATAGATACAATCGCGCCTCATTTAGCTATTATTTTTAATACTAGTATCGAATCTGGTGTGTTTCCTGATTTAATGAAGTATACTAAAGTAATACCTTTATTTAAATCTGGTAGTACATTAGACCCCGCCAATTTTAGACCTATTTCTGTACTACCAACACTTAGTAAGATTTTTGAAAAAATTATTCTTGATCAAATGTTAAATTTCTACCCTTGACCTATGCAAAGCCTTCGATTGTGTTCACCATGAAACATTAATCAGGAAACTTCAACACTACGGTGTAAGAAGTGATGCCCTTAAATTAATTATTTCATATTTAAGTAAGAGAACGCAAAGAGTTGTCATTAACGGTATGAGTTCTTCCGGGTCGATGGTACAAATGGGCGTGCCTCAAGGCTCAATTCTCGGCCCCTTTCTGTTTCTTGTATACATTAATGACTTACCTTACATAGTAGGAGATAACCATGATATAGTATTATTTGCAGATGACACTTCTTTAATTTTCAAATTAAGTCGACAATTGCTAAAATATGACAAAGTAAATAATGCTATATCTAAATTAGTAAATTGGTTCAATATTAATAATTTGCATTTAAATGGCACTAAAACTAAATGTATGAAATTTATGACTCCAAATGTCAAACAATTAAATACTAATGTAATTTTAAATGGGGAGAAACCGAGTCTTGTAAATACCATCATTTTTCTTGGAATCACACTAGACGCGAAGCTTCAATGGAGACCCCATATATCAAAACTAGCAAGCAGACTTAGTTCTGCAGCATATGCCGTAAAAAAGATTAGAAGTCTAACTAGTGTTGAAACAGCTAGACTAGTTTACTTTAGCTATTTCCATAGCATAATGTCGTATGGTATTTTGCTATGGGGACACACAGCTGACACTGAAATTATATTTGTTTTACAGAAGAGGGCCTTAAGAGCAATTTATGATTTAAAGCCTAAAGAGTCGCTGCGACAAAAATTTAAGGAAATTAATATATTAACTTTGGCCTCTCAATACATTTATGAAAATGTAATGTACGTACACAAAAATAAAAGTAGTTTTACAAAAATAAGTGATATTCATTCTGTAATTACTAGGAACAGACACAAGCTAGTAGTACCAGTTACTCGACTCCATCGAGTCAGTAATTCATTCTTGGGGCGATGTATACGCTTTTACAACAAAATTCCTGAAAATATACAAAATTTGACCTGCTTAAAGTTCAAATATTTATTAAACTAAGTTTGTATAAAAAGTTTTATTATAATATTAATGAATTTATAGATGATAATAACCCCTGGAAATGAGGTGATCGCTACCAAGCTATTTCGAATTTGTTGTGTTGTTAATTTGTGTAACATACATGATTATAAACTGTTATTTAAAAAAAAAAGTCCCGCTGGGTTTCTTGCTGGTTCTTCCCAGGACAGAGGTTTTTTTTCGAACCAGTGGTAATCATACAAAAGAGTGACTTTCAATAAGTATTATTTATAATCTATATTGAAAAAAAAATTTTCTGTTTCTGTTTCCTCTAAAACGCTTTGCGTGCTCAGCAGCGCGGGACAGTATTTCATGCCGGCACATCGCCTGCAACTGTACAAGGCGCAGGTACGGCCTCACATGGAATACTGTTCCCATCACTGGGCTGGGGCTCCCCAGGGCTTTATTAAAAAAATATAAAGCTGTTTTCGATACAAACAATATGGTTTTCTTTTTTGTTTCGTTTTTTTTAAGAAATCTATTCTTGATAAAACAATATCTAAGGCCTATGGCCAGCCACGCAGCGCCGCCGTGACGCCGCCGCTGCCGAGAAAACTTTCAGGCCACGCCGCCGCCGTGGAATTGGCCTTCGGCGCTCATATCTACCAGACAACAGACTTTAAATATTATATGCATTACTGACCGAATGGCTCTCTCTTGCTCTTCATCTCTGTTTGCAATCTGTTTATTCCTGGCTTCTCTATGTAAAACAGCATCGGCATCTTCTTCCTTAACGAGACCAGCTGCTTTACGAGCTTTTTCTTCTGGAGTATCAGTCCAACTTGACCTAAATAAAACATAATGATTTTTTATATTTATGAATACTACATAAAACTATTTTCTACGAATTTTGTCGCGTTTTTTTTAAGTTCTCAATGTGCCGAGTGCTTTGAAACACTCATGGTCAGGATGAGGCAAAGGGCTTCTTGATAAGGTTCTTGAAGTCTCAATGTCATTGCTAACCTGGGTTACCTTTGGCTTTAAATTATTAATTTTAGTCTGATCTATGCAGTTAGTTCACCATATGTTGACGGCTTGAAGTTGTACGCTTAGGTTTGCATTTAGTTTTATTCTGTATAGAATCCCAAGCAGATAGTAGTACCAACAGCCACATTTACCATGGGAATGGGGATGTTGATTATTTTAGTAGCCTCGCCAATGGTCCTTGGTAGGATGTAGTATGGTGTCTTTTGTTAGGATTTGGATAAAGAAATATTCCACAGTTGATGTAAATATATGCCGTGTAATGGTGGCGAAAGAGAATTCTCACCACATTTTGTCCCATGGTTGTCATAGGAGGCGACTATGAGAAATGCCAAAAGGATAAGCATTTTAACCATCTTGTTAACACCAGACTTAATGTATGTAGACGTATGACACTGCTTCCCGTCTGTTACCGACCGTCGACGGGCAGCAGATGAACAATATTCCATTTTACCATAAGACAAAGTAACTACTTTAGTTTAGTTTAATTTACTTGAAGTTAGAAGCAAATAACTTTTAACCTTTCCTAGGTGTATAACTGATAACGATGATTAACTAATCCTTAGATAAGAATTTTATGATCACCTGTAATTCAATTGGGATAACAAATACTGTATGCTTGGAATCCTATAATTAATAAATAAACAGACCCAAACATACCATTGCAATCTTTAAAGAAATGTGAAGCTCATTCCACATAAATCAGACCAAAGTAAATCAATGAAAGGTACCGTCACCATATGACCATGGGTCCTACAAAGCTCTCGAAACAGTAAATTAAAAATATTAAATTTACTGTTACCAATACAGTCCACTGGTGAATATAGGGAAGATTGCCTATGCTATATAACTATATATAACTATGATATTTGACATAGTTGTCACGCTTGGCAACCGCAATTTTTTAATTTAATAATAATATAAGATATTAAAAATTTAAAAAATATAAAACTTAGTATAAATGTAGTCAGTCGTAACTTAGTATAACTTAATATAAATAAAAAATTTCAAAGAAAAAAAATTGAGTGCGTGAAACTTTTAAGCATGGTTGTGTTTTCGAATAGCCACTAGGTCATATCATCCCTTGGGTGTCATAAGCAACAGAAGCAAACAAACTTGGAAATTGGCAAGAATATCTTCCTAACAACAACTAGGAAATAAATAACAGCGACTAGTTGCCAACATATCATCCTTATGAGGCAAACTATGGGGTCTAAGATTTAAGTTTATTAGCAGTGGACTTTGACAGACAATAGTGAATGGATGGATAATATTTTTTTAAATTTATTATACATATTATAATGGTGGCATAAGTAAACCACTACTCCATATTATGCCATGGATGTCGTAAGAGGCGAATGAGCAAAATGAAACAGAAGATGGACATCAGAATCTTCCCAGTAACAACTCAAAATAATACAAGTGTTTGCTAACCGACCTGCCCGGTGTGGTACCTAATTGTAGCAAATATTCCTCATATGAGGCAATCTATAATCTCATCATATGACTCTCGACTAAAGTTTTTTAATGTCCAACAATTATCTTTGAGGAGACAATTTGCCGTACAAGTTTTTTTGCACAAGATTGTACATTCTCATATAGATTGCCCAGAGTTACTAAGGTTAATTAACTTCAATTCCGGTATACGACAGCGTGCTCAAAGAATATTTAGGTTTACATACACAAGAATAACACATTCTTTTTCAAACCGCTTACCAAAATGTGCCGTGACTACGACGAGATTAACATAGTAACGTACATCTGGATATATTTGATAGTAGCCTTGTTAGATTTAAAAGAAATTTACATGTTTCTCTTAATTTTTAATGTATTTTTTTTAACTTGTTTATTTTTGTTATTCTACTGAAGTTATATTATTATGCTGTGTACACTTTTTTGGATTGTAGTTTAGATCAACATCATCATACTTTTAATTTTAGAACTGTATATAACTACTGTCTGTTTGTGTACCTTATACAATAAAATAAAATCTATAACCTGTAAGAAGACTAAGTTGAGCAGTGGATTTTGAAAATTGTATATATGTGTACCTATATAACACATATACTCACAAAATACTATAGTTAGACACTGTTATACGAAAACTGCGTAATCGGACTGTAGATTTTATTGAATGTTACTTCCTCAAGTCGCTCCTAAAACCTCCGGCCTTACCTAATACAAAAAGAACTCCGTATCCTACCCATTTATAGGGAAAAAAATTATATAATTTGTTCAGTATATCATATTTCTTATATACAGATATGTTTCTGTATACAAGAAATATGATATATACAGAAACATCTATCTAAGTTTCTAAGTTGATTGATGATTGACAAACAATATTTTGCATGTTGTGCCAAAATAGTTTATGTATGGAACATTATAGTGGCTGGTAATTTTATATTATATAATTAAATTTAGTCTTACACTATCAATAAAAAATGTTACCTATCAGTCATGTCTGGACCTTCTTTAGCTCTAAAAGACCGAGCTTCCAATCCCAAATATTTTGCTTTCCCTTCTGGTAATTCCAACATCCACTTTTCTCTTGATTTTATATCTGTTTGATTTATTGAATGCCCATCTATCTTCTTTATTTTCATGTCTAATGCTCTTTCTTCAAGCTGTTTGTGAGCATGGGTCCATTTTTCTTCTGAACCTACTGGTAATGGACCAACAATACAAATATCTTCATCAGAACTTTCAAATTTTATTACTTCTTGACTCCTTTCTTCTAGCACCTTACGCATATCCTGTGGAATTGATGGACCTAAGAAAATAAATGATATGAGGACAAATGACATGATTTAATTTTTAAAAGTTTGTTATTTTTAATGAAGTATCTAAAAAATAGGAGTACCTATATGCCGATGCTTTTTTTGTAGCTGAGGAGGTAATGCTGGACCTTCTGTATCGGGAGAGGCACTTTTTTCATGTCTTTTCGCTAAATGTGGAGGTAGAGCTGGCCCACAAACATCCGATTTTTTCGCTTGTGCATTTGCTTTTTTTAATTTATGTCTTAAATCACTGGGATCAATGTTAATAGAACTTTCTGCTTCATCATCACTTAAAATTTCACCTTCTTCACTGCTCTCTTTTTGAATATTTTTCTGTGTTGATGTTACCTCTGCAGTTTCAGACACATTGACATTTTTATCACTTATTTTATCTTGAATATCAGTTGTACTGCTCACTTCCACTGACGCTGTTGACTCTTCGGTTTTCTCTTTACTAGATTTACTCCTTTTTTTTCTGTGTTTCTTTCTATGCTTTCTCTTTTTGGTCTTAGTGATTTCTTTTTCTAAGTTTAAAAGTTTTGCTCTGAGTCTTTCATCATCTGAAGAATCAATTTCACTTGATTCTTCTGACTTGTCTTTTACAATGGCTGGGATCATACTATAGTATGAACCAGGTTTGACTTCTTCAGAAACATCACTCTCCACATGAACTTCAGCAATAGGACTTTTACTTTTTCGATGTGGCAAATCTATGGTAGCTGGTTTAAACACCTCAGACTTTTTTGTCTTATTATCTGCAGATGACGATCTTTTCTCTCTTTGTTTAATTTCATCTTTATCAAGCTTTTTATCTGTTATATTGCTTTTTATAATTTCTTTTATGTTTTTGTTATGATTTGGAGACCTGTGTGTTTTAGACTCGGATCTAGACATTCTATCCCTGCTACCATGTCTGTGATCACTTAATTTAGATCTTTCTCTAGAATCCCGTTCATACCTTCGTCTTTCAAATTCTCTATGTCGACCTCTCTCACTGGAACGTCTCCTTCTTACAGGTGAGTGTCTAGAATATCTGTGTCTATCTCTTACATGAAGGTCAAATCCACCCCGATTGTCTCTTTTTCTGTCTAAATCCCTTTGATATCTTTCACTTTCATATCTCCTATTTCTTCCTGAATTTCTCAAATTACTTTTGGATGAGTGAAAAGAATTGTCCTTTGATTTGGAATTTTGTGCTGTCTCATCCTGAGTCTTTGTTCTACATTTAAATCTACCTGTTTCAGAGTCACTACTTGATTCATCAGACAGCATTATTGTACCTAAAAGCAAAAAAGGATTTGAATTATTTAGGATATAAAATAAGAAATTATTGTAAATTTACAAATTAGTTTTATTCTTGAACATTTTGTACAAATTGTCATATGTATAAAATAACTCAATTATGTATTTAAAACATTTTGGCTATTTTTTTAGCACTGTAGCGGATTGATTTCAAAAATCCAGCAGTCAGTACACCCTTTAAAGATTGCCTCACACTAGATTGCCATACTATATCTTTAAGGATTTGCCTCAAAATAACAGCACAGTCTATATCATAAGCAACAGCTCTAAGTACATCTTCCATGTCTTGCTGAAGTCCACCATGATTCCAAAATTTTACAATTCTTTGCTGTGGTACCATAGGTAACTGCATGAGATGATGCAACTTAGTTTCTGGATTAATATCTTGGTGGCATTGAGTATCACCAGTGGCGAAATCTACATAGACATGGAATTGTTGTAATATTGGTCTATAAAGTTCACGGAAATTTAATAATTGTGGTTGTACTATATTTCTCACTTTATTTTTATTTTCACCAAATGTCATTCTAAAGTCACCAGCATAACTTAAATTAGATATGGCAAAGTAGAAATCATATTCTGAAAAAGTTTCAGGCAATATCAGTAAAGCTGTATGTACAGCAGATCTCAAATTGGACTGTAGAGCATTTTGCAGTTGAGAACTATTGGTCTGCTTTATTATTTCCACTGGCTTGTGTAATCGCCCAGCCAAGTAAAGATCATTCCAATCAAGTAAATCCGCAATCAAGTCCTTCTGGGACACAACACCATACTTGATAGTCACATTTTCTTCCCTCATTTCCACTAATGTATTGAAGTAAACTTTAGCTCCCCAATTTTCCTGAAATCTTGCAACAAAACCTTTGCCAAGATACCGAAGTGCAGAATAATGGGATGGATTCATTTCAATATTAGCACCATGCCATCTATATGAATTCTCAACGCAATAGATAAGATCTATCATATTATGTTTTTTCTGATTACCAATTTGAGGCTTGACAGCCGATCCATAAGCGAAGCAGAAAGTTAAATTTTGTGGAAATTTCGACAAAATTCTATAATACAATGGGGAAACATCTTTTACTACACCTACTGCTTTCACTACAGCAGATGTCATAATTAAAACTGCAAATCAGACCAATATGAGATAAATACCGCTGACCTGTGGTAACACTATATCACGAGGTGTTGTTGGTTATGAATCATAACTAAGATTTTATCTTCTTAGACTAAATCTTAAAAAGAAATTGTATTTCTTGTATGCGATAAATGAAAATTGAAAACTATTACGTATTACAAAAACATTGTTGTTTTACTAATAAAAGCGTCACTACGACTCACAGAGTACTTTTTATAAACTGGAACTACGACTACGACGACTTATCTATGACTACGACAGATCACACGCAGAGACAGATTATTAGGCATGAGCAAAAAGTATAGTAACTGCATGAGACCGTTATATCAAAACGTAACTAATAACGTTATGTTATCAAATATCATAATATGATATCATATGGATCAAAATATGATAACGGTTAAGTATTTAGGTTTATCGATTTGATATTATCATATCGATAAACTTAAATACTTAACCGTTATCACATATCCAACTAAAACCAGCTAACGAACGTACGAAACATAAAACGCAAACTGGAACCATATACGTGTTGGCTCACGAACTAACTGATGTCCTTCGTTGATATTCGTTGTTTCTCTTTCTTGCGACGGTATCATAAATACGTATAGAAAGAGATGAAGCGAATACGGATTTCATTGCGATGTTTTGGTAGTTATCACACAACAGTGCACGTAATGAAATATAATTATAAGATTTTTAACAATAAGGTCGAATTTTAAATGGTTAAAAAAGCCAAATTTTTAAATTTGTGTAGTTGTGAGAGTCCACATTATATTTGGTTTAGGCAACTTTTTGTTTATGTTTTGGATGGAAAGCTTAAAATTTGATTTTTTTTTCAAAACGAAACAATTACGCACTTGACCTTGGTGGCGTGTGCCGTTCACTATGAAATTATCTGTAAAATTATTAATTTTTGACGTTACGTTTATGCATTTATTTGTAATATTTGTGTGAATTTTGTACATTAGTTTTAAAACTTTTCTGCTAGTCCTAAGCCTCGTTAAGTATGAAGAAATAAACTACACTACAAATTATGTTTACTTCTTATGGATACGTTTAAATTATAGACTTTGAAATCAAAATCTGATCCTACGTCTCACTTTAAAAAAAATGGGTATAAATTCAACGAAATAAATAAGAATAAAAAGAATGTAATTTCAGACATTTACAATACTATATTACTGCATAACAATGAATTTACATAAATAATATATTAACATACATGTCTAAATATTGCATCTAAGATTATATTAGAGCCTCTGTCTTCTAAACTAAAATAAGCGAAGTAATTCGTAAAAGAAATTTTGCACTGGTTCTATAGTTTTCGGTTATGTATCGGTTGTCGGTTGCGCATTCAGTAGCAAATCATTACTACTGATGTCGATATTTGAAAACGGTTTTCAATAACGATATGAAAACTAAATATAGGTTATGTAACCGTTGCAGCTAAAAACTGAAAACGCCCATGCTTATAGATTATAGATCATAAAGTAGATTCGTTGTTGTTACCATTCTCCTATTAAGACAGACAAAAGTCTTAAAGAATACTGCCAAGTCTGATTTGTATTTTGTTCATAAAACTCTTCACAATCTTAGATAGAGAATTGACTAGATAAAGCATTTGCGTATGCTTTTAAGATAGAAATAGGCGGGAGGTACTTTCCCTGGGCTACCAGATATTGTTCCATTTCCCACGTTATGGGTTTATTTATATTTACAGCATTAAATTCATACAAATGACTTATTTGTTCATAAAAAAAAGTTCTTTTATAATTCAGATGATTAATTCATTTCTCTTGAAAATACATTCTGGGACTAAAAACTACGGGCGGAAACGGCGAAAAAACATAATCATCATTCCGTATTCAACGGCGCATCGACGATTTTACTGGACATTCAATAAACTCTTTGAATTTCGACGGCACTAAGTGAAGACGTTACTAGCATAAAGTGTGATATCGCTAATAAGTAGCAATATGTTAAGTACGGACTTAAATATTAATTTAGAATAAAAATTTCCTCGTGTCGAGTTTTATGTTGTCTTTACAAAAAAAAATTTCAATAATGTTTTAACATGCCAGTCCATCATAAGTTCAATGCTGAACACAGACCTCCGAAAGGAAACGGTTTTCACTTAGTTTTTGTAGTACAAAAAACGGTTCCGAGCCAACTCCCGCGATTTCTTACATGACCTACTAAGTTAGTGGCTAGTGTGAAGCAAATTGTGGCGTAGAAAAGAATTTGTCAATACACGGAATGGTACTACCCCGCGTCGTAAGCAATAATATAAGATGGGGATGGGGCAGCAGCACTTTCCTGATGAAAACTTAAAATAATAAAAAACAGTATAACGCATATTTTCACGCAGGCGTGGCAACTATGGCAAAAGTCATCCTATGATGATATCTAGGGAAGGCCTTTTTAGGTGACTTAATCAGGTTACCTAATGGTTAAGGTAGTAAAATGTTTTAATTAATTTACGTTGTAAAGCATCAACAAATGGTTTGTTTTTGTAATATGTTGGTATATAAAATAAAAACGAATGTTTTATAATATTCTATTTTAATTTACCATGCAGTGTAAGATTATCTGCTATCTCATATCATTTCATGGGTGACGTATGAGACGACATAGGGAAACAACAACTGATAACAGCTAAATTAAAAAATAGTGGTTGCCAACCCGCTTGCCAAGCGTTGCAACTATGGCAAATAATGTTCATGTTTATGTTCAGCAGGGGACTTTTGATAGACTGTAAAGATATATATTCTATTAATTGAAAATATATTGAAAAAGGGAAAAGAACCAAATTTTGTGTTCTTACACAACATTTAGAAATATTCACAATGTTACATTACGTAAAGAAATTAAAACACAATAATATATTAAATATAATTCAATATAATTAAACTAAACAAACGACTATTTATTAATTTTTCATCACATAAATAAACAACAAAATTAACAAAATTCTTGTCTTATTTGTGGAGCATTCGTTGTAATTCTTGGTTTGGGTAGCTTTAGAATTTCTCAAAAATATGCATTTATAAACTTGATTTATACTTTTGCATGGCATAAATTCTTGGGTGCTAGTTGTTAGAATCGGATTAAAAGGGAGTATATATATTATATGCCTCGAATATAATATATTTTAGTGGTATAAATAATAAGGTACAACTCGTCACCCGTGAGAACTAAGATGGAATGCCTCTTTTCCAGTAAAATGGGTCTCCGGTTCTCTACACTCACCATACGAAACACAGCAGTGTCAAAATGCCATTTGGCGCTGGTATTCTGTGAGAGCGTGGTCCTTCCCCGGTTGAGCCGACCCATTCGTGCTACAACTATACTACTGATATAGCTGCAGCATGGCTCTACCACGTACAATTTATTACATTATTTATGTCAATTAAATGGAAATTATCATAATTATTACATTTATATCTTAATTTATTTACACATTATTGTTTATAACACCTTTATAAAAGGGATTAAGGGTGGACGAAATGTCTCATTGGTAGGCATTCCCAGAGTCAGTTTTACAATTGTTATTGCATAATAAATTATTCATTTGTATATTTAGGTCAGGACTTAAAATTATGCTAGCAAATAATACAATTTATGTAACATCATATCACTTTTATTTGATCCGTTTATAACTCACAATTAATTTATCGTTCGAATAATCACTTTTACTTAGTACCTTCACTATATCTTTACACAAAAAAATTCAAGACTCTTAAGTTTAAATACCTTAGAACTGAATGCCCAGCTTTTTTTTTCTGAAAGTATACGCTGATGGTCCTGCGGCCTTGACAGCTTCATCTAA